CAAATACCTTCCCCAAACCCAACACAGGGAGTGGAGCAGGCCACTACCCATCAGCAGTACTCGAGGAAGCAGAAAGGACAGGCGATAGAGCCTCAGAATTAGTTACACACAGAGAGGGTGATTCTGTCGACAGAAGATATTCCCTCCATGATATTTCCTAGAGTTTGTTTTCAGTTAGTTATTCTGCCAATCAGAGGATATTCCCTCTATGATTACACCTGTAGGCCAGATATATAAGTCCATACTCTTTTAAAGAAGGGAGGAATGAATATCCCCTGTTTTCTCTTTCACTGAATCCCTCTTTTTCCTACTCTTTTAAAGAAGGAATAATGTTTTATTAATAAAAAATGGTATTACCCAATGTTGGTCCCTGCAATCTGGGGTCTTTGTAGAAATTTATAAAAAATGTTTCTGCATAATTTTTGTTCTAGCTTATCTTGTTTTTTGTTTTAACTAAAATCACCTAATATGTTTGTAATTGGAGTTTAGGAAGGCTATAGTATTTTGTATTCTGTTTATTATAAAAAATAGTATTTTTTATCAAATCCTATAGTGATATCTTTTTTCTTTGTTACTATCCATTTTAAGTTGAGCCAACTTAATTGTAAATAATTTTCAGTTAAAAGTACTTAGGAGGCAACTACCATGAAGATCTTGGATGTTTTTATCAAAGAAAAAGTTTTATAAGAATCAATTAATTTTGTTACAACTTTAAATATTACAGAAAGACTAAAACCTATTTGTAATGATTGCTGTGGAATTTTAACATTTAATGTGTAATTGTAATCCTTTGGAATATGTGGAAATAAAAAAGTGAGATTTTTAATTATTCATGTATCACCTAATTGAAATCTTGTTTGATTTGTTCTGCTCCCACATCATTCTTTTATTGCAGAATGTACCTCCTGCAATACTTCTCAGGTTCCTGCGAGAACACCGATCAGAGTGGGCAGACAGTAATATTGATGCTTACTCAGCTGCAGCTCTTAAAGTTGGGTCCTGTAGCATGCCAGTGTTTCGAGTTGCAAGTTTTGGAGGCCAGGTTATTCTTCCACTGGCTCACACAATTGAGCATGAAGAGGCAAGTGATTGCTATGTCAGGTCACTTAACAACTGGCAGTATTACATTTGATTTTTTTTAAATTTAAATTTGATATTGGCAATGCATTACTACTTTAACTCTATAAGGCTTTGTTCTGATTATTTTGTATCTGATGCTCTTATCCTAACTTGTAAGCAGTTCTTAGAGATCATTAAATTGGAAAGTGTTGGTCCTTGTCAGGACAACTCAGTCATGCCAAATGACGTGTTTCTATTGCAAGTAAGTATTCTTCGATCCAAGCTCCAATGGATCATTGCATTTTATTGTTCATTTATTTTGCCTTGAAAGAAATGATTTGGGAATCCTGATCCCATTATGGGGAGCACAAATGTCAACCTGGGTTAACATGGATGTGGTCTTGGACTTATGTGGACATGGTTTTGGAAATGCTTTGCCTAGATATATCACATTGTTCACATATTATGCACCTCCTCCCTCCCATAGAAAGGAAACCATAATATGATGTAAATGCTGATTTTTTGTATGTAGTGGAGATCCTTGGTGGAAAGTTTGATTAAAGAGCATGTAAATCGAAAAAGTGCATATAATACAACAATAATATTGGTTGATAGTACATCTGTGCCCTTTAACCATGAAGGTAAACAAATAATTAACAATCAAACAGTGTAGGATTTGAGCTAAATGATATTGTTTTATTTTTGTCTTTTGGGTTTTCTTTTCTTTAACAGAATATCATTTCACAGTTCTGTTCTATGTGCTTTGTCCTTGGTACCTTAGGTTAAGAGTGCACAATCCTTGTAAATTGGCCTCAAATTAATCCCCACTTTTGCATACTGCTGATGCAGCATTATAGCGGTGTGGATGAGAATGCTGTTGGCATGTGTTCCGAACTCATATTTGCCCCCATTGATGCCGCCTTTTCTGATGATGCACCTCTTCTACCTTCTGGATTCCGGATTATCCCTCTTGACTCAGGGGTGGTAAGTCTTCAAATAAAAAACCAGCAGAATAACTATATTACCCAGACATGCAAGGACATGACTGGACAAGGTGTCAGGTACAGAAGTTACAATACATTGAAGTATCCAACACTATATGTTACCCTTGTACATTTCTAGGTATCATAGTGCTGATTGACTTTCCAATGTATTGGTTTAAGCATAGATATATCAGGATGCCTCAAGTCCTTACTGATAATGCCATACAGGATTGACTTTCTCTTTCTTTTACCTTTGAGATTTCAATATCCTTACTGATAATGCCATACAGGATGCCTCAAGTCCAAATCGCACACTGGACCTTGCTTCTGCTCTTGAGGTTGGGGCTACTGGAAGTAGAGTATCTGGTGATTATTCTGGGAACAGCAACAGCACGAGATCTGTGATGACAATAGCATTTCAGTTTCCATTTGAGAGCCATTTGCATGAAAACGTTGCATCCATGGCTCGGCAATATGTTCGCAGCATTATATCATCTGTTCAGAGAGTAGCTCTGGCCCTCTCGCCATCTCATCTTAGCTCTCACTCTGGCCTTCGACCACCACCAGGAACTCCTGAAGCACACACACTTGCCTGTTGGATTTGCCGTAGCTATAGGTGTGTCACATGAGCTCACCAACATATAACATCTGTAGTCTATCCTTGAGACATGTTTCTGGCTTAGTGTGGTCTGTTAAAATATGTCAAGTACATAACTTAGTAGGGCTCTAATTCCCTTGGGCATCATGGGTAGCTGTTGTTCTAGTATGCTTTTGTAAAGCACACAAGAGAATCAGTGACAGTCAAACCTTGTGCCTTATGAAACCAAAGGGCAGCCCAGTGCACGAGGCTCCCGCCAATGCAGGGTCTGGGGAGGGACAGAGGTATGAAGCCTTACCCCTGCACATACAGAGAGGCTGTTTCCAATTGTGCCTTATGCAACTAATGTCAAGTCTTACCAGACTTGATCTGAATTATAGTAGAGCTATTTTATTTGAACCAAGCCTAAGTTCACATTTTTTGTGAATTTTCTTTGATTGAATACATTCTTTGGCAGGAACTATTTGGGTATGGAACTGCTCAAACCCAGCAATGAAGGAAGTGAATCCATTCTTAAAACATTGTGGCATCACCAGGATGCTATAATGTGCTGCACTTTGAAGGTTTACTGTTGGACTTGTTCCCACTCTTTTTCACTTTCAAGATATCTTTCTATGTTCATTATTGTTTGGAATTCTTGTGGTCATGACAGTATCTTTGATATATATATATACACACAAAGTATGAATGAGGGTGTGGAACTTTTGTTGACTAAAATGCCCATATTTGTGTATTTAGTCTATCTCTAATTATGAGGGTTGAAAATGTAATTTATTCTCTCTTATTAAATCCTATATTTAAGTTTATTTTCACTAATAAATGCTACTTGTTAGATTTATCTCCAATACTTTTAACACTACAAACCCTTGTATTTTAAAACTTCAATAAATTGCTAAAACCTCCTTTGAAGTTTTTGGTTGTTGATGAAACCTCTCCTAAAGTTTAATAATTGCAATTACCTCCTCTGAACTTTTTGATATAGCTGCGTGTAGATCCCCTATGTGAGAATCTTCTAAAAAGAAGCCTGAAAATGATAAAATGCCCATGCAGTACTTTTGATCAAAATGTTTATTTTCCAAATGTTCTGTTCATATAATCACTTGCACAAATCCTTCCAATCTCTCTCTTTAAATTTATTTATTTTCCAAATTTACTCTTCACATCAATCATTCAAAGGCCCATGCAGTACTTTTGATCAAAATGTTTATTTTCCAAATGTTCTGTTCATATAATCACTTGCACAAATCCTTCCAATCTCTCTCTTTAAATTTATTTATTTTCCAAATTTACTCTTCACATCAATCATTCAAAGGTGTAGAGAACACTGATGTGGGCCCCACGGATGTGGTCCCCACTGTGTTTGTATGACAGCACAACATGTACTCTTTGTTAGTTATGTCAGTGTTAGTTGGTAGTTATTTCAGACAGCTTGTTATTTCAGCTTATTATTAGTTTATTTGCCATGTAAAGCATTAAGGACAATTCTGCCTTTTCTACAATTAGTAAACGTATAAATATTAAGAGTGGGGCGGCAGATTCATTAATCAGTCCCTCTCTCTCTCTTCTAAAACCCTTGTGTACTTTTGCTTCTCCTTTTCTTCTTCTTTCTTCTTCTTTTCTCCATCTGAAACCTTTTTACTTTTAGATTCAAGACTGATTGTAGTCTTGATCGACTACTTGGTATCAGAGCCAATCTAGGATTTCTCATGTGTGTCTAGTCCATCCGACCACATGAGAATTGCCTAGGGCTGGAAGCTTAGAAAGAACTGTTCGTTGGTTGATTCTTGGAGGTTACCAGAAGGGTTTAGCAGCTGTCCGAAGGCTTGTAGAGGCTTGGAGAGTGTTTTGGTAATCAGGAAGAATCAGAGAAGGTTAAAAGGATCAATATTAGGGTTCATGCCAAGATTGAAGGTGGCGATCAGAGTTTTCTGGGTAAGTTTTTATTTTTTCATTGAGATCGTCATCAGTCAAAGATAGGTTGGACTTATCTAGGAGGAGCGGCTGAGCTCTCCTTTATTTTTCTCAGAGGCGATCAAAATTCTCTGCTTTTTTTTAGGGTTTGTCCTTAACCCTATGACCAGATTTGACTGTGAACCTATTTGGAAGGTGCGACTGAGCATTGTTTCTGTTCTCACAAAGATTTCCTTAACCCTACGATCAAACCCTAAATCTGTTTCAGCATTCCAGATTGTTTTCTAAGTGAGTTCTAGACTTGTTTCAGCTTCAAAGCTTGCTTTGGGGGGTGAGAACCTTTATCAAGAATTGGACTGCTTATATTCTGAACTGTCGATTGGTTTCAGATCAGATCCGAACTGAGTTCATACAAAATTCTGTTTCCCTTGTTTGTGGAAGACCTAGGTTGACTATGATCAATTGTTTAAGTGCTGTTTTCTATTACAGTAGCTCTAACATTTTTTGATTACTGATTCTTGACCAAGAATGGAGTTCAAGAATCAGGGGGAAGGTGTTTTKGGGACTAGCAATTCTAGTAATATGTCTGAGACTGCATTTCAGATTACAACTGTGAGGTTTGATGGATCCAACTACTTAGAATGGGCCCAATCGACCATGATGGCTTTTGGG